TTTTTTTCTTATTTTATCTCAATTTTCGGGGTTATCACGGGATGTCAAACGAAATCGAAATCTCGTATTTTTAACACAATTTCGAAGTACTCACGGCCTAGTTTATTACACTCCTAACCGTGTGCGAAACGGTCAACCGTAGCAAAAGTTACCACTTGTCAAACTAGGCAATTTCAACCGTAGCAAATATTGCATTTTTGTATTCCTATTTTGACGAGTGGTAACTTTCACTACGGTTGGCCGTTTCACACGCCATTAAGGATGGTGAAAACTTAGCCATGAATACTTTAAAATGGTATTAAGAATGCGAGATTTCGATTTCGTTTTACATCCCATAATAACCCCGAAAATTGAGATAAAATAAGAAAAAAAACATTTATATATTTTGGAACGGCCTATTTCGACGAGTGGTAACTTTTGCTACGGTTCGCCGTTTCGCAGGCGGTTAAAAATACGATAAACTAGGTCGTGAATACTTCGAAATTGTGTTAAAAATACGAGATTTCGATTTCGTTGACATCCTGTGATAACCCCGAAAATTGAGATAAAAAATGAAAAGAACATTTAAGGATGTAATATTTCGACTTCGTTTAACGTTCACGTAATAATTTCGAAATTTGAAACAATATTAAAGAAAAAAAGCCAAGAGGGGAAGGGTGTTACGTGGGTCGTTGGGTAAAAGTCTAAAAGAGGGCTGTTGGTGGTCAGGTGGTGTCAGGAAATATTGCAATCTTGCACTACCACGTCAGATTTTTTAAAAATCGGTACGTCTTCTGTGAAAAAAGTTCTGTACTCGTAGCATTATCCATATATATTATATACACACGCACAAACAGGAAGCATAGTGGCAGCAAAATTGAAGCTGAAATATATATATATTTACACGCAAAGAAGGCATCTTCAATTTTAGCCAAAATTAATCACGTTTTGTCAATTCTTGATGATGTCTTTCCACTATTTCATGTTTATATTCAATATTATGAGTGACTAAATATTTTTATGGTTAGGATTGATAATGTAGCTAAAGGTTTTATTATATGTTTAATTTCAAGATATTCATGTCATTTTAATACTTGTTAATTAATTATTGCGTGTTTAATACTTTTACTTGTTTGCGCAACAATTAATTAATTTAGGGATAATACTGAGATCGAGAGGTGATGTGTAATTCTAACTCGTGCAATAATTAATATTGACATTATAAGAGATCGAAAGATAATTATAAGCTATGCGATTTTTGTTGAATTCCTATAGATAAATGTGTTCATATGTGTGTGANGTGGATTAATGTGTTCTTATGTATGT